CCTCCAACCCCCACACTGCCTCGCCAGGGGGATCCAAGAGAGAGAGACATCCCTACTACCGTTCCTTCCAGACAGGGGTCTCCCCCGCTGTCATACCGGTTGTGGGTCCACCACCAGAGTCGGCCACAACATCACGGAGGGGAAGGGGGAGGCAGAAACAGAACGAAGGAAGGAATGAGGGGGGGAGGGAGGACGAGAAGGAAGGAAGGAAGGAAGGAAGGAGAAGGAGGAGGAGAAGGAAGGAAGGAAGGAAAGACAGAAGAAATAAAGGAAGGAAGGAAAGAAAAAAGGAAGGAAGGAAAGCAGAAAGGGAAGACTGAAATGGAAGGATGGAAAGAAGGAAGGAAAGGACATTACATCTATCAGGCCATTGAGAAATCATCACTCATAAAAACACTGAAAAACACCGCAGACAAGACTTACAAACCCAAAAAATCCACTACAATGCATCCACATAACCACATTGTTCCCCTCACATTAAGTCCAGTTGTGTCCAAATTCGGGGAATGGGGGGGTGTTGGTGCTCATCTCCATCTCCATTTGAATACCACTACTTTGTCAGTACTACATTTTCCAAAACAACACACTACGCCACAGCAACGCGTGGCCGGGTACAGCTAGTTTCTAATAATAATTATCAAGCAACCAGAAACTGGTGAACTGAGAGTCTACTGCAGAGCTTTCTAAACTGTGTGCTGGCTACAGTGTGTGTAGGTGTGTCACATGAGCCTAATGAAAGATGACAAAAATCTTGGAAATGTATGCTAGTATCTTACAAATCATACACACAAACACACACACACACACACACACAAGAAAGGTTTTCATGACAAAAGCTATGTCTCCATGCATTTTGTTAATACAATTTGTGTTGATATCTTTTATAAGGGGTTGCTTTAATTTCTGGAGTTTCTAGTGGTGCAATGGGTTAAACCCTTGTGCCGGCAGGACTGTTGACCAAAAGGTTGGCAGTTCGAATCCAGGGAGTGTGGTGAGCTCCTGTCTGTCAGCTCCAGCTTCTCATGAGAGAAGCCTCCCACAGGATGGTAAAACATCCAGGTGTCCTCTGGGCAACATCTGGGCCAATTCTCTCACACCAGAAGTGACTTGCAGTTTCTCAAGTAGCTCCTGACAAGAAACAAATAAACAAAACAAAAACCTCTGGTTTGTTAGTAAAACTGATTTACTGTGTTGTGAAATGGTACATATCTAAAAAGTGTGTCATCACCAAGACAAACTTTTTAGATATATGAAAGCATGTGAAAGAAAATTTGAAAAAAACCCAAATCCAACCCTCTCCTGATTCCAAGAATTTTGGATGAGGGCCACTGAACATGCGCTTTCTCCGCTTTCCTTACTTGCCAGAGCTGAAGCCCTGGGATCCCCAAACTAAGGCCTGTGCCCTAAATTTTATACTTATGCTAATATTAAGTCTGAAATTACTTGAAGGCACACAACAATTCTTATTAACTTGACTTTCTCATCAGTTCAAAAACATGCAAATGTGAGTAGATTAATAGGTACAGCTCCGGTGGGAAGGTAATGGCAGTTCATGCACTCATGCCACATGACCTAGGAGGTGTCTACAGACAATGCCGGCTTTTTGGCTTAGAAATTGAAATTAGCACCACCTGCTAGAGTCGGACATGACTAGACTTAATGTCAGGGGGAAACCTTTATCTAAAGGGTAAAGGTAAAGGTTTTCCCCTGACATGAAGTCCAGTCGTGTCCGACTCTGGGGTGTGGTGCTCATCTCCATTTCTAGGCTGAAGAGCTGGCATTGTCCGTAGACACCTCCAAGGTCATGTGGCTGGCATGACTGCGTGGAGCGCCTTTACCTTCCCGTCGGAACGGTACCTATTGATCTACTCACATTTGCATGTTTTCCAACTGCTAGGTTGACAGAAGCTGGGGCTGACAGAAGATGCCGCTCCCCGGTTTCGAACCTGTGACTTTCAGTCAATAAGCTCAGCAGCTCTGCGCTTTAACCTATTGCACCACTGGGTACTTATTGTTTTATCATAGGTTTTTTTTTTTTACTCCAAGTAAGATATGTGCAGTGTGCATAGGAATTGATCCATGTTTTTGTTTTTTTCAATCTGTAGTTGGATCCCCCAACAGTTTTAGGGACCCTTGGCTTAAATAGCTTGAGGAGCCCTGCCTAACCCCCAACTGAGACAGGAGTTGCAGCCCTGGCAGGAAGGGGAGGGCTCAGTATGGAGATGAGCAACGTGGTGCAACGTGGCCCCCTACTGGCCAAGCGAGGAATCCCGCTTCCCAAGATCTCTGGCGCTGACCAAGGTCTGGGACTGTCTAGTCCACCTGCAAGGAGATCCAAAGCCGCACAAAAGGAACAGAGGAAGGGGTCACGTGGGGGAGGCCGAGAGGGAGCCGCGCGGCGGGGCACAGGCAGCGTTTCAACGCGCGAGGAAGCCCTCGGGGAAGGGAAGCAAAGCAAGCGCCTTTGAGAAAGTTCAGAAGAAAGGCTGCGCTGGGACAAAACGGAAGGAGAGGCAGCCAAACGGCAGAGGCGAGGGCCAGTTCCCGCGCAGAAGCGAAAGCCCAAGGGGATTCTTAGCCAACTCGTCGCCCGAGTTTAATGACGGACGAGTACTCTTCGCAGCGGGGAACGTCTGCCAAGCGCTCGGGAAACCTGTCCTTTTGGGGGACTCCCGAGCTATTCGCAGGGGGACGCGACGCTTTCCTCTCCGCAGCCTCTCAAGGGAGAAAAAGCCAGGCAAGGCTCCTCATTCCCCGACTTCAAAACAGAAAACCTCCCTCTGAGGGACTTGGAGCGACTTCGCCTGTGGAAAACAAGAGAAGAGAGGAGAAACCAGTCCTCTCAGCCTGGACCCGCGCGTCCCTCTTTCCCCGACGTCCTTTGAGAGGAGCGCTCTCTTTCTCACACACAAACGTTGCGCGTGAAGTGACGGCGGAGGGCCCCGCCCCCTACCCCTCCCCCTCCCCCTCCTTTGCCGCCTTCTCCTGGTGCCAAAATAACTGCAAAATGGGGGAGTTCAGAGGCTGAAGTGGTCTCCTCCTCRCCATTCCCCGCCACCCCGAAAGAGAAGAAGAGGCACGCGTTAGGACTCGGGGGAAACCGCGCGCTCCCTCCCTCCCCTCTCAATCTCTCTCTCTCMCTTTCTCTCTCTCCCCCTCCTCTCTGGGCCCCCCTCCCTCCCTCCCTCCCTCTTCATCCTCGCGCGTCTTCAATCAGCTTGGGCTCCTTCCTCAGATGAGGGCGAGCGCAGGCTCCAGCCGCGCGCCACATCGAGAGAGAGGGAGAGAGAGAGAGGCAGGCGGAGAGAGAGAGGGACCCGCTCCTAACTCGCTCGCTCGCTCACTCACTCTCGGGGCTTGACCCGATGCGAGGGATGTTGGCGAAGCGCGCGGAGGCTCGGCTCCTCGGCTCCGGTTCTTGCTGCCGCCGCCGCTGCTGCTGCCGTGGGAAGAACGGGATGTGAACTCCCTGCCAAAGCATGACTAGGATTGCGTCGCTTGCCATTCTTTTGCAGCTCTTGCGGACCACCGGGGGACAAGGCTTCGCAGGTAAGGGCTTCGGTCGGAAGGGGCTTAGAGCGGGCTCAATCAAGGCTTGGCTTTTGAACTCAGCCTGCGCTTTGGGAGAGAAGGGACGGGCGGCGGTGCCCTTTTCTCCCTTCTTCGCCACTCCATCGAATCGCCAAGCCATTCCTTCCATCTATCGGGCATTGTGTTGGAAGTCACTTGGTTTGGGTTTGCCGGCTGCAGCGTCTTGGGTTGTAGGGACCCGATTGGCGGGCGTTGAGAGCTTGATTGTCAACCGGAACACAAGGGAATGTGATTTATACACACATACCTATATTGCCTTGTGTTTCGGCTGGCAATCAAGCTCTCAAGTTTTGTCTAGCATTTTTCCTCCAGATCTTCAAAGAGAAAAGCACACGCCAACACTGAACAAGCATCCAGGTTCCACTCTAACAACCCATTTATCTGGGCGTAAGTCTCCTATTGGACTCAATGGGAATACTTCTGAGTAGTCGGTGTACTGGATACATGTTTACTAGGAGATGGACAGTGGGTGTACCCCTCGGAAAGTGCACGAGAGGCTTTCCACCCATAGGTTGCTGTGTGTTTTCCCAGCTGTGTGGCCATGTTCCAGTAGTATTCTCTCCTTTAAAAACTCTAAAATCAGGACAATAAAGAGCAACAATAAGCAGGGGCACTCCAGACAAGAACCAATCAGGGGCAGCTAACACCTCCCAACAAAGGATCCCCAGGCAGCAACCGGCCAGGCTTTGAAGCTGCAAGACCATTAAATGCTCACCAAGATAGCCAATTGCAACATTCACACCTGCCTCAAGTAGACAAGAGTTCTTTCTCCCACCCTGGACATTCCTAGTTTCCACCTGACCTCACAACCTCTGAGGATGCCTGCCACAGATGTGGGCAAAATGTCAGGAGAGAATGCTTCTAGAACATGGCCATACAGCCTGGAAAACTCACAGCAACCCAGTGATTCTGGCCATGAATGCATTTGACAACACTTTCCACCCTTGTCTTCAAGATCTGGATAATATTTTTGTAAGGAATGTTATTGCTTCAATACATAGCTGAGAGCAAATCCAATGAAGTCTTTAGTTTCAGAAATGGAACTTTCAAAATGAATGGCTTTCTTTTTTGTCTTTGGCATCCTTGTAGACTCACCCTTAAAAGACTGGGTTGCTTTTGTGACTCGCGTGATCTTGAAGGCACATCTTCATTCTTGGAGTCAAGACACTCTGGTCCTTTTTATAGTAAACAGTTGGTATCCATCAAAGGAGGGGGAAGAGTGCCAAATATTTCAAAAATGTGTGACATGAGGACTGGGAGTCCAACTGCACCTTTAATCATAACTTGAGCAGCCTATTTGGAAGTCCACTGGGTTGTTTCCCCTGCCTTATTTAGACCTTGGAATCTAAAAAAAGTTGGCATAACTTTGGATGGTTGGGAATGTGGGCTGGTGCTTCGTTCACACTTGTCGAAATCTGTCCCTGGGGAGCTGTGTCTTGGAGCACATGGAGCTAAAAAATAGAAGCTTCTAATCTTCAGTTGACTTTTTCTTTTCTGATTAAGTATTGTTCTGATACCTTTGGGACACTACATTTGTGACGCTACTCTAGATCTGTATATGTACATGCAAGGTAGTTCAAAATTAGGTCATACTTTGAAAGTAATAGCTATTTCAATTTCGAGAAAAGATTCAGTTTTGCTTTGGTGTACATAGAAAATTGTTTTTGTCTATGTCTATCTGCCTATGATGTGACTTTGAGATTGGCTCCAACTGAAACCCTGAAGTTTAGTCAAACTTTAGGAGCAAGTTTTTTTTCCTGCTTTGGTTAATAAAACACCGAACTATAAAATAATTTTCATCTTGGCTTTCCTAAATATTATTGTATTAGGAAGGAAAAGTAACAAACAAGGAGATAATAAACCAGAAACAAATCTTTACATGTCAGTAAAGTCTTTCAAGGGAAGTTTATGCAGAAATGTTGAGAGTGGAAGTGACCTTACTAAGCTTTGTGAAGTCCAGAGTGATATGTGCAGTATGAATTTTAGGCTAACTGAGGTATACTACGACCTATCTTGAATGACAGGGAATTGCGTATGCTCTTAGGTGATTTTTTTAAAAAAAAAATGGGAAGGGATCAATTTGCTAAACCTGTTTACTTGCTGTGTGCATTTTATGAAGCTCCAAGCACTACTGTGCAGTCCTGTTCTTGCCTACTCTGATGGAAGTCCCACTGAGTTCAATAAGACTCACTCCCAGCAGACTGAATTTAGGCTCATACTTTACTGCATCCTGTCTACTTTTTACTATTAGTGTTCCTGCCAAAGAGCTTCTTCTGTGTCTAAATTCCAAGTCATGTTACTTTGAAGCTCATTGTCCAATGCGAAACATATTAACTGATGTTCAAGGGATTTTCTCTATCATAACACTGATATGTGTACAATATAAATCCCAAACTTTATCTTAACAATGTTTAAATTTTGATGAAACTTTGTTACCTGATTAGACATTTGTTTAGAGTTTTAGGTGGCAGAGTCTCATTATGACTGTGGTTATGGGTGAATTTATTATGCATTGGGTTCCATTGGAACTGGTAGAAATTTAATATTTAATGTTAAGATTCTAGATGTTCTATATAGGACATATCAAGGACTGACCTCGTAACTGGATGGGCAGCAATAGCCTTAAAGAAATGAAAGGGAGGATACTTGATAGCCCATCCCCAGGTAATGCAACCATATTTTTAATTACACATTTCAAAATAAGTATGCACACTTTATGAGGAGGAAGAGAAGGATATGGCACAAGAAGGCCAGAGGTGGGAGAGGCTGAACAAAAGCAATTATACAAATGGAAATAGATTGGGCAACAAGGATTTGTGAACAGGTCAGAAGCTTCCATTATCATTGTTTGCAAAGGAAGAAAGTCGGTGTTTGCTCTGTGTGATGGGGAACATCACCTTTCATCCCTTCCTTCAGCCTTGCTGCTCAAAAAAGATAAAAGAGGTTTATTTATAGAAATAAACATGACTCGGTGGGTGAGCCTTTTCCAGAAATGAGACTACAGCGAGTGTTATGTCTTTCATTTTTAAGATTACACTTAACCACTGAAGACTTAATGCCCTGTAACCAATTTGCGCAGCTAATGCTCAGATAATGAAAGCAAGATGGGAAAAAAATCTTCAAGAACTCTGCACCTCTCTGATGGATTTTCGTATTGAATCATATGAAAGCTTCCATCTGTCGCAGCCAATGCACTTCCCTGGTTCTCCATCAGATGGTGCCGCCTCCACAACTATCAGAATAATGCAATTGTAGATTTTTAGTACAGCACATTGTCATTGAACTAAGGTGTGCTTTCAGGTATTTGCTCGCTGGTCTTTTGTCAAAACGTCCAGCATATCTACTTATGCAAAGTTGTCTGTTGCACCTTTGTTGATTTGGAAAAAAAAGGAAAAATACAAAATATTCTATAAATCTGTGAAAAATGAGATTTTAAATGTTGACGAAGTCCTGCTTATCTTATTTCTTTATTTACTTCATTTATATAGCTCTTTTCTCATCCGTGGGGGGACTCAAAGCAGTTTCCAAAATATTCACGGCAAAATTCAATGCCTTACAAAACATGAAAATATAACATAAAACCACAGTAACATAAAACTATCAATTAAATCATAAAACATATCTACATAACTGCTTGCTTCTCTCCCACATTAAAAATCTGGTGTATACCTACCTAAGCCCCAATGGCCCTTTTAAAAGGTTTGTTCTGAGTGTCAACATCAAATGAAAGGAAATGTTTAGCTGAAGTGGCATCTGGCTGTGGCATAGCATTCCTAGAAATGCTCACCTAGAATCCTTTTTATGACATTTTCAGCAGCAGGTGAAGATACATAATTGTCCTTGACTTTTAAAATCTGTGATCTTATTTGTAGTAATTATATGAAATTAGTTTTATATTTTTCTCTGCTGGAAATAAATATTTTAAAACTGCCCCATCGTTGCAAATTGCTCACAGCCCTGTTTCATTGGGAAAGGGGGAAATCTAAATACGCAAGGACGTATACATTTGCTTGTGTCTAGTGCATTGGGTGAGAACACCTAGCGCTTAACTGCAACTGTTAATAGAGTGGTGATGGACTTCTGCTAGTTGAAGAGCTAAATCCAGAAGAAGGGAGTGAGGAGATATCCCCATTTCTTGTTATAGCCCCATAGGAGCCTCAAAAGCATTTTCAGTTATGTGGTGATAGCAGATGACTATAGAAAGAAGAAAAGAAATACAAAAAAACACCACTGCAACCACTGGCTTTTGGTCTTATGGGCTAACTACATGTTGATTAATGTTGTGGTTTGCAGCAGCATTGAGGAATTTAAAATATTTAATCCTATGATCAATGTTCACTGTGATACACTTTCATAAGGATGATAAGTTTATATATTGCTGTCCTGGAGGAAATTACTATCTTTTATCTAAGATTTATTTTTAAATATTATCTTATGAAATATGGCTTGTACCCAAAACAGTTGCAACATGTGCTTAGGGTTTGGAAGAAATTTTTGGAAAGCCTTTTCAGAGTTGGGACCACAAGGACCATCTAGTCCCATCCTGCCATGCAAGAATCTATGACTACAGCATTCCTTAAGGATGTTTATTCAACCTCAATTTAAATAAATCCAAAGAAGAAGAATGAACCACCTAAAGCAGTCCATTCCACTGTCTAAATGTTTTTTATATTAAAGGTTTTCCTTCTAATATTTAGGGGAAATTTTCTTTATTATAGCCTATCTTCAAGACTGTATCCCTGTCTATGAACCAGTGCGTGTCTTGAGATCTGCTGGGGAGGCCTTTCTCTCAGTTCCACCACTGTCACAGGTGCGATTGGTGGGATGAAGAGAGAGAGGGTCTTCTCAGTGGTGGCTCCCCAACTCTGGAATGCCCTCCCTAGTGAGATTAGATTAGCCCCACACCTCCAAACCTTCAGTTCAAACTTAAAAACATAGTTATTTACATGGGTATTTGA